GTGTGTGTGTGTGTGTGTGTGTGTGTGTGTGTGTGTGTGTGTGTGTGTGTGTGTGTGTGTGTGTGTGTGTGTATGTGTGTGTGTGTGTGTGTGTGTGTGTGTGTTGTGTGTTTGTGTACATGTGCGCGCGTATTTGTGTGTGTACGTGTGTCAGCCGTATGGTAGACTATTAACATCAGAAGAAGGTCACGATGTAGTTATACGCTTCTTACTAAAACATCGGATGTTAAGTCTTTATAAGTCTTACAAGCTACATCTCACATAAGCTGCACTTCTAAATGAAATTAGTTAACGATAAGGATAAGTCCGATATGCGAAGCTGAGCCTCGCCCGGGCTATGGGGGAGCCCGGCTAAGGATAAGGATAAGTCCGATATGCGAAGCTGTGGACCTCGCCCGGGCTATGGGGGAGCCCGGCCTGTGCCGACGTATGTCGACTCGCTATCAGTGTTTGCAGGTGCTGACTCGGGTGAGCTTAGTCCTTACCCACCGTGGTGCCCGGCCACAGCAGTAACTTCCAGGCGACAATTGCAACTTCTCGCGCCTGGGCGGGGCGCGAACCGCCGACCCCTCAGATGAGAGGCCGACACGTTACCACTGTACTAGCCCGGAGGCTGAGCCCGGCTATTAGCGAACTGATATGTACTTAAATATCTCATAGGCCTACGCTTAGAAAGTTGCCACTAGGTGTTTATTTCACGAAACGCAGGATATATGTATAGTACTGAAATACACATTATAGCACTGTATAAAACACAGGGTATACATGCAGTGGTATAATACGTTATTACATAAAGTCAGGATATACGTACAGTATAATAATAAGACTGTATTCTCACTATTGCGATTCTCCCTCTATCTCTCTGTCAAAGTCTAGGCACGAAATGAGTGTCATTTCCGCGCCTCACCATGACTTTACACATCTCGGACATTTATTATTTTTTATTATTTTCTTTTCATTATCATTTTGATTTTTCTCTTGTTTTCTAATTTCTTTTATTTATTTATTATTCTTTTTTAGATTTGAGTTTTTAGTTTTCTGCGGTTTTCACTGACACGGAATAAGAGGAATTGAATGAATGCGCTGTTAGAGCCCAGACTTCGGCGTTGATTAGACTGGTTTATCAATGTTTACCTCTATAGTATGATGTGAAAAAATATATACTTATATAAGATTTCAATGTACGTCATGAATCTGAGCAAAATTCATAGAAATGTCGTTATGGTTACTAAAGAAGACTTTTTTAATCCGAAGTCTGGGCTCCGTCATTGCATTCGTATCCTTTGTCGCAATGGTCCTGATATTAATATGTTTTTAACTTTTTGTTAATTCGAGTAAATTTGTTGTTATTTAATAAGTTTTTTTAAAATGTATTTCTTCGTTTATTTGTAATGGATTTATATTATATACAAACATATACAGATATATATAAATAGGTAGATAGATAGATGGATAAATAAATATGCATATAAATAAATAAGTAGATAGACAGATAGATAACAAGATAGATGAATAAATAGATAAATGGACATATAGCTAAATATATAAATAAACAGATATATATATATATATATATATATATATATATATATATATATATATATATATATATATATATATATATATATATATATATATATAGATAGATAGATAGATAGATAGATAGATAGATAGATTGATAGATTGACAGATAGGCAGATAGGTAAGTAGATAAAAAATAATAGACAGTGAAACGAAAGGGTAACTACGGAGAGAGAGAGAGAGGGATAGAGAGAGAGAGAGAGAGAGAGAGAGAGAGAGAGAGAGAGAG